GTCTTGATGGATGTCCTGTCATTTTTACGCCCCACTCGGTGACACAAGTTCAATCTGCGTCCAGCAGCACCTGTTGATTGAGCCGGATCACTTGCAACTGTGGAGCAGTGTTGGAGCTGGAGACAAGCGTGTTAGAGGGAGGAGGAGCCATAAACTAATAGCAACAAAAAGCCACAGCAGGATCTTAACTTTGCTAAATGTGAAAGGCCCTGAAAGTGAAATGAGTTGGAGCTCCTTACATTGGGCTGCTTCAGCACATTATTTGATTTCCACAGCAAACCAGATTATTGAGAGGGACATTTTGATGTTTATAGTTTGTCTTCAATGGCAGCCGGGATATAACATACACAGATTTTAAGATTAAAAGAATATCTGTTTACTTAACCCTTAATCAGCTTGTTTTTTTTCCAGAGAAATTAGAAATTGGGCTTAAAGGGTGCCGTCTTTATGTTACTCTGCAAAATGTCATAAAAACCTGAGGTCTAATAAATTCAGATTCAAATCCGCAACTCTAAATGATCCAGCCTAATGTCGGTTCGAGTGTTCGGTTTCACAACGGTTGCTATCAATTAGTTCAATCAATTTGAACTAGGTCCACTCAGAGTTAAGCGCGTGCGCAACAAGTACGAAAAGCCATCATCACTGGAGCACTGATTCGACGAGTCAAAATAAAAATAAAAAAGGAGAATGTGTTTAAACAGCGCTACAGCTACAAAGGAGAGGAAGATGGCGAAGGAGTAGATTGTTGCTCCGGTTAATGCGTACGTTTATATAAAGTGGGCTATGGCAGGCCGTTTTCACATTTATTAAAAACACTCTTCTCTGTTGTTCCATTTCACTAAAATAAGATTCTTCCTGATCAAAATCACACTCCTAAACCTAACCGTAACAGCGTATTTTCTAAATTACATTTTTGTAGCAGAAACTGAATTTTAGAAAGTAAAAAAAAAAGCGAAATTATATTAGTAAGAATTAAGTTTTATACGTATATCTAGAAACGTTTTCACATTTTAAGTGGCCATTCTGACATTTATAAGCTTGACTGAAAATGTTTTTATGATACCTGAAAAACATGTTTTTCATAGTTAAAATAA